AATGATGAGGAGGGGAGACTTGTTAAGTATGCCGTAATTTTGATGTAACCCATTGCAACTGATAGGAGAGGGGCACTTCTGAATCAGTATCTCCATTCTTGCAATTGTAGCCGAGCAATTGAGTACACCAAAAGAGGTGTTTTTGTGTTAGGGTGAGAGGTTTTGTTATTAGGGTTTCACAATGGCGAGACGTCTTAAGCGAACAAAAGAGAGGGATGATAGGTCAAGGAATGTGAGGTTTAGGAATGAGTTACCAGAATTGGAGCTGGTAACGTTCACAATATGGAGAATTGCCAGATTGACTTGCTGTGGCAGAGAAAATTCGAGAAAGATTTCAAGGAGGCGGACGTTTATGGTTTCTTGCGATATTCAAGAGTTTTACCGCCATTAGATCCGTCTATTGTAGAAGAATTTGTGCAACATTATGACCCATCAGATGGTTCGAGTGTGGTGCATAATCGTATTGTGGGATTGGAGGCGCCCATTCTACACAAAGTTTTGTATTTGCCAATTGGAGAACTGGCCGTAGGATCGGAGGTGACGGTGGAGTTCAATCCGGAGCCATATTTTCGTTCGAAGGCCGACGCGTTTGTGAAGGGCCAGGGTTGGAAGGTACTGGACGTTCTTAAATCAGAAGTGGGAGAGTGGTTACGATTTGTTCAGAAGAGAATGGCGTTAAATAGACATACAACATATATTGCCAAGAACTTGTTGTTCGCAGCAGTAGCTTCAATGGATGGTATGAAGTTTAATTGGGCAGAGTTTGTAGCTCAACGTATGCATAACGAGTTATCATACAAGAGGACGTTAGGGAAGGTTACTACATTACTTTGTTCCAATTACATCTCTGAGGTAGTGAAGTATCAGTTGAAACTCCCTCTACAAGAACAAGAGAAGGCGAGGTTGAAGAAGTCAGGGAAGGTAGTCACCCTTGAAGAAAGACAGAAGGAGACTGAGCGAGCCAAGTCACCTGAGCAGATAGTGCAAAATCAGCAGGAGCAAACCAATCAGCCATCAATCGCGGTGGGTACCAGTTCTAAGGGCAAGGAAAAATTGGATCAAAGACCAGAACCATCTTTAGCTTTGGTTTTACCAAACCGGTTGACTGGAGAGACATCTACCCAATTCGAGGGTCAACACAGTTCTGGTGATAAATGGGGAAGTGCTAAAGAGATGCTGTTATATCAAGTGGAGACACTCTTACCCCAATTCAAGAGGTTGTATAGAATGGTACACGAATTACAAGATAGTGATGAGCTGAGTAAAGATTTGGAGAATCAGAAGAAATTGGTTGCAACTCAACAGAAGACAATTGCAGAATTGGAAGAGAAGTTGGCTGAGAAAGTGACAAAGTATACAGAATTGGAGGTTAGGTTAAACAAAATGGACAAGGATTGGCGGATGGATAGAATGCTTCATCAAGCTGCAGAAGATCTTTCGAAGCAGGAACGAGATCTAGCAAGGACACAATTGCAGGAATCTCTAGAGAAATGTGCAAAATTGGAAAAAGACCATCAACAGACGTTGTTAGAAGTTGCTACAATACGGGATCGTATTGGAAATTTGGAAGCAGAATTGGATTTAACAAGACAACCGGTGAGTACTTCCAATTCTGAAGAAGTTGCAGAATTGAAGACCAAGCTTGATGACCATCAGAAGTATATTGCAAGGTTGGAAGAGCAAGTGCGAGTGTTGGGATTTGCCAATGAAGACTCAACTAAGCAATTGGAAAAGACAGAAGAAGAAGAAGAAGAAGAAGAGGAAATCGAAGAACCCAATTTTCAGGCGCAAGCACTGGTTGAAACGATCTTATTGGATGAATTATCGGAGCCAACCAATGCTGACAACCAATAATATTAGGAGAATTGGTTCTAGAATTGGATGTTTGTGAGGACGCGGCACAGTTAGGAGTGGGGCTATGTAGAAGGGGTAAATTAGTTAGTGCTAAAATTTTGACTTTAGTAGATTAGAACCGGTATTGATGAAATCAGGAAACCAATAGTCATGTGAAAGGTTCCAAGATACAGTTAACTGACAAAAAAAACTAGTTGGAATCTGAAAAAGGGTATAGTAGGAGAAAGATTGATTAGCTTAGGGCCAGACTTGTGAGTCTTAGAGCCGGGGTATGCTTGGGTGCTACCTCTATTTTTTCTATTTCTTTCCTTTTGTATTTTGATGTTTCGTTGTGTTTATAAAGAGAAGTTTATGAGAATTGTGTGTTGATCACAGTGTTACAGTGAATGCTGTATTGGACCAGAATTGGTTCTATACATTGCACATGAAATAGTGTTATAGATTGAGAGATGATAGTTTGAAAATGATTGAATGACCATTGAGTTGGAAAATATAAATGAAGTTAGAATTATAGAGAATTGATAAGAAATTGAGAATGATGTAATTGAAGTTATTAAATTAGACATGGTACTGGAGAATTAATATTATACAATTCAGTGATTGGGAATTAACTTATTGAATACCAAATGATTATATTCAATTAATGGTGACCTTAACAATTAACTCATGCGACAGTTCTTTCCCTTGTGTTTGAACCAATTTAAACTATACTTAATTCAGAAATTGTGGCAATTCGGATTTCTTGACTACAAAGAGCAACGCCAAGAGAATTGAGCTAGAGCTTCAAGAGGTGTGTTGTCGAGACTGAAGAACTCTTCAGCTTCAACTCCTATATATACTACTGGCCTATGGTTCTAAGGAAGCGCATCAAGAAGCTTCCCAAGAACTATGAAGCTTCTCGAGCAACTACCCAAGAGATAGGAAGCTTCTCAAGTAACTTCCTAGAATCTACTAGAATATTCTAAGAATCTTCTAGAGCCTTCTAAAGGAATCTTTAGGGAATCTTCAAAGAATCTTTAGGGAATCTTTGAAGAATATTCTAAGAGAATATTCAAGGAATCTTCTGGAAGTTTCTAGAGACTTCTTTCTAGAAGGTTCTAGAAACTTGTCTCTAGAAAGGTCTAAGGACTATGTCCCTAACAAGCAATCACAAATACATTTTTTTTAGTATTTTTTAAATATACAATAACAATGTTTTTTTTAGTTTACTATTTACTTAGTTTTTTTGAAAATATATGTTTTTTATATTATTTAATATTTTTTATGGTTAGAATAAATATGTATAAATTTAAAAAAAAAAAAAACTTTTTATACTTTTCAAACTTTTAAACCATACTTTTTAAGTGTTTTATTTTGTGATAAATCAAGTAATAATTTAATAATTAGTAGATTTAATACTTTAAGATTAAATAAAAATATTATTTTTATTTTTGTAAAAAAATATTTGATATTAATTAAATCTATTCTAAATAAAATTTAAGATAAAATTTTGAAATAAATAATTTTTTTTTTCAAATTTTAACTCATTAAGATATTAAAATATTCTATAAGTTGATCTTCAAATAGTTTTAAATATGACAATTTTTTTTTAATCAATATCAAATTTGTAAAGTTTTTAAATAATAAAAAAGAAAAATATATATATATTTTTAATAAACTAATAAATCAAAATATACATCATGAATAAAAAGTCACTGATTGCAATAAGATTCAAGCTACAAAGACACTCCAAATTGCAATATGCTCATTCCATTGTATATGTACATATACCATGTATCTTTGCTTGGTTGCTCTAGACTTGCTCTTTCTTGTCCTAACATGGATCTTAGAACCTCCTTCCATGGTCAATGGCTATGCAAAGTTATTCTTGGACTTTACCTATATCTGATAATCCTTGCAAGAAAAAATTTAGTCATTTTCAAGATTTACACTTCTATTTACAAAGAAGTAAAGTACTTTATGACCTTTAATAGAATATCATAAAAAGACCTTTATATTAAATAGGCAAGTGAACTTATATTGGAGATCATAAAAAGACCTCATGACTTCCTATTGTAGGTCAAATATCTACCAATACATTGATGGACTATTGTATTTATTTTTTTGCTCCTCAAATTGATTAAAAATGAGCTACTAACCTTACTATTAAAAATAAAATTTTAAAAATAAATTTTTTCAAAAAATTGGAAGAAGGTTTTATATTCTAACTTCTATTTTATCTACCAATTAAGCATGGAAGAAGGCCTTTAGTTCCTCCATCTCCTCTCATCACTATTTATTGCAAAAACCTCCGTATTCAATTGACTAGCTTGAGACATCTCGGCCATTAGATCACTAGAATCAATTGTGGTCATTAAAAGATCTATCAAGAATATGGAAGAATGTTGAGATAAATACATGGGGCGAGTAAAAAAGCTCAAGGAAACTTGATAGTATGGATAGGAGAGTGCAAGGAATGTAGCAAGGCAAGCGGCCCTATAAGAAAAGAGGCCGCAAGTCCCAACCACCCTCTCTTTGCACCAAAAATGGAATACCGAATATTTTTGTATTGAACATGTTGAGTCAAATTCCAACCTTTTAGGTTTTATTTGTCTAATAGTTACATTAGTTTTTGATGTAATAATTTACATAATGTTAGTCTTTTAAGAATTTTAGTTTTTATAATTTAAAATATTAGTATAATTATTTTTTCTCAATATTTAATTGATTATCTATTGACATAAAATAACATATTAAATAATAATAACAAGAAATTAAATTAAACACTTATTACAAAAATAAAAGATCCTTTGTTTATAATGAGTAAATATTTCAAGTTGCAAAAATTCTTAATGGAAACAAAAGTATCATGTACATTGAGTGATGTTGTATGTGATAACAAAAAAAATATATTGTTTGAAACAAGAGTGATGGTTGCAAATTGGGATTGAGAGGCATCCCCATGTCAAAATAGATCACTACATACCCCAATGAGGAACGGGTTCTGAGTTCCCAACCTGCCCGCCCCCCTGGTTCCCCTACGTTCCCTCTCTCCTTTCTCAGAAATCTGATCCGCTGTGGACAGCTGCGATCCGACGGCCAACGATGGCGGAGCCAGTCAATTGAGTAAGGAGGTTTCTGCGACACAATTCCACAATGCTCCTCCCCCTCTTCCCAGTCCAGGCGCGGGTCCTGCACTTCCTCCCCCTCTGTCCCTCCTGTTCTGCACCAGGTTGATCCCACACTTCAAGCAACTCAAGCTATAATTTAGTGTCCGTCGACACACCTCATTAAACAGGCATCCAACTCTGCAAACTCTTTTCAATCTTTTATTTCTTACACAAGTCATTCACCTTACCCCCGTACTCCATCTCCATCATTCTCTGAATTGTTTGTGTGGGTCTTATGAACTGGATGCCTCTCAGCAGTGATTCTTTTTAACTCCATGTTGAAGACAACCATCTACATGATGCCTGCAACAGTGGTGATCACAAACTCAATCCGGGGTTTAACAAACGAGCTTCAGATACAAACGCAGTTTATCAGAGAGTTAGGCTGCGTCCACGACACAGATTTTGAGGGGAAGACGACCCCTTTTGATTCGATCGATCTGAAGATTGATGCACCCCAGCTTCTGCTTTTGTTTCCAAAGCAAGACCTCGTTAATCAGGTGCCGAACCTTGTCGATTGTGTTCTTACTTTCAATAATTGTTTTCGTCATGCATCCCCCCCCCCCCCCCCTCTTCTTCAAGTTTCTTCAAACTATTTTATGGGTTTAGTGGGAATTGTTTTTGGCACGCGGACTTCGATGCACTACTTGCCTCAGAGCCAGTCCTCTGCTTTATTCTCTTTTATTTGATTATGCTCCGTTGTTTTGAGTTTATTGAAGACTATTGAACTGGATGCCTCTGGGCAGCGGCTCTTTCTGACTTGAAGTTCTCTTTATCAAAGTAGTGCAAAGATAAATTGAGTCGAAACAAAAAGTTCGTGCCAGCAACGTTATGTCTCGCCGGACCGTCCCCACCCAGTGAGAGAATCAAAGCTCAAGTCGTTATTGGCACGCCCGGTTGCATGAAGCGCTTGATATCGGCGCACAAAGCTGTGCACACAACACATATCAAGACTGTAGTCTTTGCTGAAGCCGATCACATTTTTGCTAAGGTAGGATATTTTGATGTAGTTCAAGCAAAACCTCGCAGCGTGTGCAAGGGGTTTAAGCTTATGATCTTGTGTTGGGGTTAGTTGCAGCACCTCTTCTTATTACGTCTGTCCAACACGCTTTGTGCACAAAGAACAACCTAAATTTCTAGTTTCGTAATATAAACACATCGTAGGTGCAGGCTTACCACACTTGATGTTACGAATGGAGTGGTTACACAACGAATAATATTGTGAAACCGTGATTGGGATAGCTTTGTTTTGCAGGATGAATATGTGGACGATTCATTAAGACTTATGAAGTACGTTAAGAAAAAGCAAAGCAGTGAATTCGAGGAGACACCAGAATTCCAAGTATTTAATAACCATAAAACTAAAAATAATCATGAATGGCTCATGTATTTACCATTGCATTTTATGTTCTCGTTTTCTTTTCTTTTTGTGACATGTCAGGGGTGAAGAACCCCGTGCGAAGTTCCATTAGGCATTGCTGAGGTTTCACACCAGGGATTTGACATTATTTTTGGTTTTCGTTCCACGACATTCAATCATAGTTTGCACCATGGCATCGAAGAATTGCAATTGAATTCCTGGATTGGTATTCCCTTACGCAGGCATTGTTACTCGCATCAACTTCCAACCATAAAGTAGACTCTTTCATATCGAAGGCTATTCCTGAAAGGACCAACCGTTTCATTTCTGACCACGCCCAGCTTTTAGCTGTCTCAGCCTGGGAGTATCACATCGTGTTCTCTGATGCTAGCGCACAGATCGATTCCTGCAAGGAGGTCATGAAGGACCGTTTTAGTCGGGATACACATGGCGATGGTAGGCCGCTGAAGATGAAGCTTGTTGAAGATGTGTGGTCAATCGTTCATGTGTCGCATTTATCTTACCAGGAGCTGTGGAAATTCCAGGGGAGAGTTACAAACAGTTAGGTTTTCAAAACAACGGCGCTGGCCATGAGCAGTGCCAGAAGATCGTGCTTTGGATCTTGCCGTACCTACCAGTACCAGATGATGCACGCAAGCGACTTGCAGAATGCCGAAGGGAGCACGTCAAGCTGTTGTTAGATCGGGAAGATCTTGAAGTGCTGTTCAATGGTGAGCGTGCTGGTAATGTTGAGAAGTTTCTTGTGATCTTGACGGTCGTGATGTTGTTATAGGTCGTGGTTTTGGAATTGGAACATTATCAGAGGAGTGGGTAAGAATAGATGAACCTGGGATTTGAGAGTTGAAACAATTGTGCATTTGATCTGAGTCTTCTACATGTTAACCTGACACAAACCAGATCAAAGAAATGAATTGATCTACACTGTAACCCTGAGCCATTGTTTTGTGCAGGCAACAATGCCTTCACAGCTTGGACCGGTCCACGAGCTTGTCGTCGTAGTTTGTTTAGTGAGCTTATGAAGGGGATGATTGGAAAGATGAGCTGCAAGGGAGTGAAGTATTTCCTGTCAATGTGTGTGAGAGAGTACATGGTGCTGAAGAACGCACACAATGAGCTACACAGGAAACTGATGGGTACAAACTTGGAGGTGGAAATCGACATTGGATTGTGGTGTTTGAGAAGTAAGTCCATGAATGAGGGTCTGGACTGACATTGTTGTGTGTGTTTGTATTCAGATCCCAACACAAAGGCTGAGGAATTTGTGAACAAAAGATTGTTCACAAAGATGCTTTTTTCCTAGATAGACAATGAATGATTGCAACAAGTACATGTTTTGAACCACAAATATGGTTTTTACTTATTACTTTAATCTTTTTGTATCTTTAGTTCTCTTTTTTCTACACCAAAAAGAATTGGATAGCAGTGTGTGTAAAATTGATGTATTTAAATATTGTAAGAATAGATTAAACATATGTATATTTGTAGTCTTTTGAACATATTCATTATTAATTTGAAAAAGCAAGGATTCAATGTACTTAAGAGAAAAAATATGTAATAATTCATACATTATTGAAGAAATACAACAAATAAGATACAAATAAGTAGAAATTAGAAATATTATATGCAAAAAATATGGAATGAGATGATTCTCACTTCTAATATTTTTTACTTATAGGATGAGTTTACATCTATTATAATTGAACTTCATCTATAATCATCTTCATTTTTCTTTCTTTCATTCAACAAAATTCTAAATTCTTCTTAATATAGTTGCCACTTAAAACCTTACTTGCCACATTAGTAACTTATTTTCATCTTTCTGCTACCTTTTGATCATTAGCAACTTATCTAATATTATATCTTGTACATGGTATCTTATTCTTATTTTAACACTCTCACTTTGCTATTTGCCTCCATTGTAGACCTTGTAATTGTTGGTTGTCTCTTGCAATTTCATGGGATTACTCCTACTTCAAAAAAGAATACATATCTTATTTTGACCTTCTATCATTTGCATCTCTAACCTAATCTGCATTCCAATAATCATACAATGCAATATTATCTCTTCTAAGACACAATTTGAAGTTAAAACTACCTTTCAAGTACCTTATAATCTTCTTAATGGTTGCTCAATGGATTGGTCTAGTCTTTGGTATGTATTGACTTATAATATTCACTGCAATTATAAGATCTTCATTGTACCAACCATTGCATACATAAGTGAGCCTACTTCTATTTTATATAGAACATCTTTCATTTCATCTTCAAATTCAAGAAACTCCTCATTCATGTGCTTCATTAATTTCAAATTTGCCTCCAAAGGTGTTTTAATGGACTTGTATTTTTCAATGTTAAATTATTTTAAAAATTCTTCAATGTACTTGCTTTAGTTTGTTGTAATGGTCTTGTTATCACAATTTCTTATGAATTCCACTTCTAAACAATAGTAGAGTTTTTCCAAATCACTTATGTCATATTCTTTCTCTAATTTTGTCTTCAACCAATGCATCTTCTTCATGGTATTATTCAATATGATTAAATCATCAATATAGAAGTTGAAAATCAATATGAATTCATTTGATTGTATTATATACAAGGAATGTTCACCATCATACTTTATAAATCTCTCATTCACAAAAAATATATCAATATGTTAGTACCATGCCTTTGGTTATTGTTTTAGTCTATAGAAATATATTTTCAACTTACAAACAAGGTATTGTTCTTCTTCAACAAATTCTTGAAGTTGATTTATGTAGATGTCTTCTTCTAATTTTCTATTGAAGAAAGCAATCTTCACATCCATTTGATACATCTCAAAATCCATTGATGTCCGAATTGCTACAATGATTCTAATGGTGGTGAATTTGGCCATAGAAGAAAATGACTTATTGAAATCAATATCAATAACTTGTGAATAGCTTTTGGCAACTAATCTTGCATTATATCTCATAACTTTGCCTATTGCATCCCTATGGATTCTAAATACCTGCTTACAATCTATTGAAGATTAATTTAGTGGAAGTTGAGGCAATTCCTATATTTTATCATGCATAAGTGATTTGTATTCTTTTTTCGTGGCCTTCTTTTACTTTATAGAATTTATGAACTTCATTGCAATTGTATGAGGCAATGAAGTTGATCTCATAAGCACTCTTATGCTCCAAAAATTCAACATCACAACTTTTGATGATTTTCTTAGTATCCAAATACATTAGTCTATATCCTTACTACCTTCAGAATATCCAACAAACACACATTTTATACCTTTTATATTAAGTTTGGACCTCATACAAGTTAGTATCTTTATATAAGCAATGCATTTAAAAGTCTTCATGTATGAAACATAAGGTTTCTTCCCACTCTATGCTTCTTCTAGAGTCATTGATGTGAGGGCACTTGTACAGCATCTATTCTTTGTATACACCACATTCACCATGGCTTATGTCCAAAATTCATGCCTAAGATATTGAGCACGTAGTATATTCCTTGCCATATCAACAATGATTCGACTTGCTCTTTCAACAACTCTATTTTATTGTGGAGTATAAGGAATGAAGTTTTATCTTGTAATACCTTCAATCTTTAAAAAATCATCAAAATACTCTGATAAATATTTACCTCTATTATTAATATACAACATCTTGATCTTGCACTCACATTATTTTTCTACAAATGCCTTAAATTCCTTAAATCTTAAAAAATACTCAATCTTGGATTTGAGAATGAAAATTGACATCTTCTTTGAAAAATCATCAATAAATGTGACAAAGTATCTTATTCCTCCAATTAATGGTACCTTCATTAGTTGACAAATATTCAAATACATAATTTTTAAAAATTTACTTGTATGTATTATAATTTCACTTGGAAATGAGATCCTTTGTTGTTTGCCTTAGATACAACCTTCATAAGCAAGAGACATGGCATTTTTGTATGATTGTCTAAAATCCAAGCCACTTACCATGGATTGAAGTTTCTTCATGCTCTTAGCATTCAAATGACGAAGGCATCAATATCAAATGCTAAATTTGTCTTGATTATGAGAAAACTTAACAAATACTATTACTTTAATTTCATTCACCTTTTTATACTTGATGAAATAGAGGTTGCTATCTCTAAAGTCTTTGGTAATATCATCTATACCCAATGTCTTTATCAAGCACCTATTCTTAACAAATTGCACCTTACAACCATGTGAAACTAGTTTACTCACTAAAAAGAGGTTTTTCTTGATTTTGAATACATATAAGATGTCCTTTAATCTAATTGTCTTGATTTTTCCTCTCACAACAATCTCTACTATAATAAAGTCTATTCCAATGGCTTGTATCATATCATTGTCTTCTATAAAAATATTTTTTGCTGAAATTTTTTCATAAGTATTAAATGAACATTTGTATAGAATCATGTACTTGGTGGCACTAAAATTAACAATTCACTTGGATATGGTAGCTATGGAAGTGCCTTTACTTGCCATGAATACAAAATCATCTCTTCTAAATTATTCTCTTACATTATTAGTATTTTTTTATTTTTTTTATTTTTTTTATTTCTAAAAGTTTTGTCTAAAATGACCTAATTTTTTTACAAATGAAGCAAGTTCTTACATTACTATATTGATTAGAATAGCTTCTCTTGCCTTGTCTTGAAAGGAATACCAAATCTTCATTTAAAGATTCTTTGTCAAGTACAAAAACTTGATGAAAGCAAATAAAGAAGTGAAACTTTTTCAAAGAAATATAATAAAATAGAAATAAAGAAATATATATATGTTAAAAAGAAATTAGAATGGCTATTGCCAAAAGACAAGAAATCTAGAGACTTATTGAAACTAAATTAGAAGCAAGAAAAGAGTTGACAAGAGTAAAGAAGGCTTCACCCTTACATCTATATATACTATTTCCATAAGAGTTATGTAGCGACATTCTATAAGACCTCCAAAATGTGTTAACTTTGTACAATACCTTATCATATGGTATGATTTATGATTTGGAATTATACTAGATATCTAATTGTAGAGGATTTAGATTTAATTTATTGGTCAAGTTCTAATAAGTGATTTATTTTTAATATAAAAGAGAAATAAATATAACAATATTAAAAGAAATTCTACTAATAAAAACCTTTTATATTTAAGAAAGTTTGTACGTAAGGCTTTTTAGAGCATCTAAAAACTTCCTAACATCCTTTGCTATACCAAATCATAACTAACTATTTATTCATAACTATCATAGATATATATACATATTCTAATAAATACCTATATGATTAGATAGAAATAGGTAAAAGTAGATAAAAATAAATTAAATTCATAATACCTTTTAGAGTAGCTTCTTAGAAGCTTCATAGATATTGCATTGAATTTACATATATTTGTAATTGATTGATAGGTTATAAACTTAGTCAACAAGTTAACTATGTATTAGTAGCTTGCAATATTGTATTACGTGCTATCTTGCTTGAAAATGTACCCGGCATCTAGTTGTAGAAGATAAAACAATGTTTTGCAAGTATCCAAGTAGGCTAGTGGGTTTCAACCATCTAAATACAAACTATTTCGAATTTAAATGTAAAAGCTTAATCTCAATACAAAATGCTTAGAAATACTATTTTTAATAACTTCAAGATATTATAAGTACAAAGTCTTTTGTTATTTGTTAGTTTTTTTTATTTCATTTCATTTTATTTTTTTATTTTTTTATTTTTTATTTTTTATTTTATTTTATTTTATTTTTTAAACCTTAATCCTAAATAGCAAGCTTTGACAAGCTATAATTCTCAATCTAACTGTCCGATTGTTGTAAACTTCTACCACTAGTGTCTTTGTAAGCCTTCTAAATACTCAAGAAGTTTTAATCCAATCTAACTTACAGATTGCAAGAAAATGCCATAAACCTACACTGATGTATTTTGATCGCCGCCTAGAAGTCCTCGACTTACTATGCCAAAAGTCACCTTATTCCAGTCAATAGATCTCCAGATATTACAAAAACCCTAAACAACTCCAATCTACTAACTTTCGATACGTCTTTACGCTAATGGTCAAATATCCTCTATCTGTTCCATGAGATTAATACAAACTTTTGTATGCACTCGGCATACTCAACCCTCTAAACACCTCTAAATTTCAACCGCAGAAGTTTTTCCAATTTCACAAAACAGTCAAGAATACCAGCTTTAACTTTATTGCAAAAAAAAAAAAAAAAAAAAAAATCCAAATCACCAATATAAACACTGACTTTCAGCAACGACTACAAGTCCTCCCAAATCCTTTGAATCCAATTCACCAATACAAATACTGAATTTCAGCAATGATTGCAAAAGTCCTCCCAAACCCTATAAAAACTCAATTCTACACCTTTCGAA